CTCCAAATGGACATCAGATCAGCCCTAGCAGTAGCTTCTGCAAATCAGGTAGTGACCAAAGACTACTTGAAGGTGATCATTGACAATCAAAAGGAAGCATACAAGCTGTTCAGACTTATTGGCGCAAATTCTGGAAACCGCAAGATGGAAGTAATTCTCCAACAACACAGTCCATCTCCAATACCACAGCTCCCTATTGAAGTCAAAGAAGGAGAAGTATCTTATATTCCTTCTCATCTGAACTTGACAAATCTAATCCTTGAAGCACAGCAGAGAAATCCGGAAAACTCAGCACAGCTTCTATCCAGCTCAGGACTGGATGGAACAGAATTTATAGGTACAGTTGTTCACCACTTCTCAAATGATGCTCAATCAGAAGAAAGACGTGAAAATTTAAGGCGCATCAAAGAACTATGTGGGAACATGAAGGGCATCAGTGAGGTTGCCGGATCTTCAAAGCGCAAGAGAAACTGAAGGTTCTTTTCATCAAAACAGGGGGAAAGTATGTGAGAACACTAATGTGTTTTGATGCAAACACCTTCTTGTTTTAACATTGCTTGATTGGTTTAAACATTGCAATATTGCTTCAACAATTTTCTTAATTATGCTTATTATGCTCAACTATACTTATCTCAAATATGATTCTGAGAATTTTTTTTTAAGCGCATACATTCAGGGGGAACTTAACTAGTTTTGTCTAACAATTGTTTTTGGCAATGAATTATTGATAAGCTCTAAGCAATGGAAGACGGATATCTCAGTTTTGGTACTAAAATTGGAAATCTCCGATTCAGGTACTTTACAAAATCTGCCTTCTCAAACTAAGCTTCAGTCCTTAATTCATTTCCAACAAGCTCTAAAAGTACTGGTCCCTAGGATGTTTAAAATGTACAGGACTTTGGAAAAATAGTACCACTTTTCTTTTAAAAATAATATTCATATTTTTTTGGTGCTACCTCGTCCTAAGTAGAAATTAGAACTATAGGGAATGAAAAATGATAGTTTTATTTTGGGCCTTGAGAACCCAATAGGAATAATCTCCCTTTAGTACGTAGCTTTCTGTTTGGGCCACTCTTTTGGGCTTAGCCAAACTAAAAGAGTTATGATTCTCAAACCAAACGAAACTGATTTTCAAAGTGGAACAGTTTCAACTCATTGGTAATTGGTAAAAGATTCCTTCCACTTTTCAACTTCTTGGAAGTTGAAACTCTTTTACTCTCACCGTTCCACCTACCAAATTAATGGAACCCGTGAACCCTCTCTTCTCCTATTTAAATCAAGATATCTTAATCCATTTCCATCACAAACAACTCTCTCAATATGAAAAGTCCTCAAACTCACTGTCTAAGAAACACACCAAGAAAAATATCCCCAATGGAGAAAATTTTCTTTCTCACCCTCATAGACGGCAATGGAAGAAGCCTATTGAGAAGAAAAGACTTTTAAGGTATATGGTGAGAATCTCGGCAGTAGAGAAGGTCTATGGTGGAAATCTCGTATTTTTCAGTATTAGACCATACACCTTCTCTGGAACAACACTCTCTCTATCTTT